ATGTACTAAGTGAAATCGCTTGAGAAATCGTTATTTGCATTAAATTTCTTGCACTTAATTCCAGTGACTGCTTAAAGCGCGGCGACACACATCATGTTTTTTTATGTCCGTTTGTTATGCCCTTTGGGAAGGCTGCCAAACGCATTAACCTATAGGTGTGCTGAAGTTTTGATCGCTACATGTCTTTTATCCGACGTTTTAGGAACCAGCTACCTTTATCGAAACGTCACTAAGCGCGCACATTCACTGCTGAAATACGGCGCAGATACATTTAAATGCCATTGTCTGTTGGCCTCGAATCACATTTAAGCTGTGTGTGAAATAAATAAACCCGTCTAGGTGAACTTTAAATACCATGCATTACTTATTAGTGCAATTCAGATTTATTGAACTGTTTCGCCGTGGTCTTTCCTTCTAACTGTTTCACAGTACCGCTAATTTTACTGTTAGCCAAATAGTAACATTCAATAGTTGTTGATTACTTTTACGTGGTACAACTAATTTAAAACACCGGGGCTATATTTGGTCTATCGCTCTTCAGCAGATCGCAGCAATCTTCGTAGAGTATACTTTTATTCAATTCCAGTTTGCGATGCGGTCTTATGTCCTATGCACTGCAGGCACTAAACCATGGATCCATGGCCTGCTTAAGTGAGCGTCTCGAAATAAGGATGTGGCGCAACTGAACCGCTGGTGTAAAACAATAAAATTTTCTTTCTTTACGCTGTGCATTTTCGCCGTTCCAATCCGGGATGAATAATTTTAATGCGATATCTTCAGCGGCAGTATTGAATGGATCCCAAAAGCATTGGGCTATATATTTTGAAAACCAAGTATAATTTTGCTGTAAGACATTTTTATGTTAAGAGAAATTTTTTATAAATTATAATTGGACAAGGCAACACAGGGTAAACACGCAAACCACATCATATTCACTGACAGACATCTATAAAGGATGAGAATGAACTGGACTTTAAAAGTTGTGAATTTCCGTAATATTCGTTCAAAATACCCTTTGAATAAACAAACTGTACTCTGTTGGTTTCTGGATATGACTGGTTTCGTTTCCTATAAACATTTATACATGCATTAATTATAGAGGGTTTGTCGGCAATTTGCTGATGCGGCCGTAACGCAATTAGTAAGGGCATGGCGCCACTGATTTCCCAGTTACTGAAAGATCGTTGGTTCGATTCTGAGAATAACTTCTTTGCCATCACCCTCAGATCATCTTCATCATCGATGAACGCTTGTCCTTTCACGTCACACAGAGAGAGCTTCTTGCCGAACTTATGCCAGAGATTGAGCATCAGCAGAAAACAACTAGAGTATGGAACAGACTCCTTTCGTATATTTGTACAAGATTAATCTTGGTCGTCCCCTAGGACTTCCGGCGGTCAGTTTCGCAGGAAACAATCCTTTGCCCCTACTTTCTGGAGACATTCCCCACACATGCGCCAACTATCGAGGCTGTGACTTCTGGATCTGAAAATTCAGCGGCTGTACACTAAAGCATTCGCGCATATCTGTATTCCGAGAAAAATGGAGACGCGCAAGTCCAGCTGCGCGTCTCAGAAAGCCCATTTCAGCAGCTTGTACTTGGGTTCGAGGCTTTTCACTTATCACCTGCAACTCATGGCCGTACGTAAGCACGGGGATAAACATCGACTTAAACACCGAGAGCTTAGTTTTCAGACTGAGCTCTGCTTTAGTCACATTGGGTCTCCAGCTAATTCACGCAGAACCCCACTGGCTACTCCAATTCGCCGGTCGATCTCTTCCTCCAACTTTCCATCACTAGTAAATACAATTCTGAGGTACTTGAACTTCTCCATCTGCTCCACTGTCTCTCCATTAATCCGTTAGGCTTTTCGTTATAGATGCGTTCACATCGCACTCGGCGAGAAACTTAGGAGCACTGGAGATCAGTTTCAGAAGATGCTAACAAAACAAGGCCGTCTGCAAACAGCAACCTTCTCGATTTCACATCTCCTACACCGATACCCTCATCGCCTTGGCAGCTCCTGACTATTCTATCCATGTAAAACACAAATAGGATAGGGGACAGGACGCAGCCTTGGCGGAGACCAGTGCAAACGTTGAATGGTTTCGACTTAACGCCATTAACTATGACACAGCACCTGCTATCGGAATACAATGATCGGATGGCCCTTAGCAACTTGCCATCAATCCCGTATGCACGAAGGCATGTCCAAAGACTGTTGCGTGGGATCCGGTCATACGCTTTCTCTAGGACCAGAGAACACATGTACACCGGCTGGGCGTACTCCCACCATTTCTCAACAAC